GCCTTGCCGGACAGACAGGAGATGAGGGCGGAAACGCTCTCGTATCCCGAGGGCGCCGGGTGAATGGTTGCCAGGTAGAGTTCTACTTGGAGCTGGAAACCCTGACCCCCGGCCGCGGTGCCATCATATGCCCTCGGGAGCGAGAGCCGAATCCCACTGGACTCCGGAGATGGAACGATGGGTCTGGCCGATGGTGGTGGTATTGTTGGAGGAGGTGTGGGCAAACCTCCTCTTTCCCATCGGCTCAAAGTGTCCATTACATCCTGCATGGCGGTGCCGAGTCTTTGGATCATGGCGTCTTGGCTGCTTACGCGCTCCTCCAATGACCCCGTCGGTACCGCTGATCCTACTGACTCCATGGTGGTGTGTTATTCTGTCAGAATGGTGATGTGTACGCGGCGAGAGAAGTCAGACGCAGGACACAGAGAATCAGGTTGACTACTTTACTCAATGTAAAGCACAAAACAAACGTCTCCACAACTGGAGGGAAAAACACCATATGCGTAATATGGCAAAATAGCAAGGCCGAACATCGACATGACATACAACAATAACACACAAATGCCAAACGTGAGACAAGGGAAATTATAGGCTAAACAATCAAACATAATAGACAACAGGTGTACTACTCAAGACAAAACAAGACAAACACCGAAACATCGATCGGCAGTAGCTAGTACTCCGGGGACGACGAACGCCGAAGCCTGCCCGAGCAAGGAGGAGGAGCAGCCTCTGCAGAATCCGTGACAGATACCTGTTGCTAGTCAATTGTACTAATCTTAGATTACTTTTACGGGATAGAAGTAAATTGAGGTATTATCAAATGTTGTCATTTAAATTTCATTTTTAGTATGCTTTAATAAACAACAAGTTGGTATTTGAAACTAAATTAATGCAATGAGCTGCAGTAATCAGAGGAAGGCACAATCTAATGCGAAACAGCTATTACCTAGATCATTTATTTAGTAATGAGATCAGGAAGATAGGAGCAATAAAGAAGCAAGGGACAGTCTCAAAAATAAATAAGGGATGGCAATTGGATGATAAATTACCAATATTAACTAAGTGATTGTTTAGGTAGGTGGTAATATTGACACATGAGCAAAACATGTGTCAAAAGGGGGATGGTAGGAGATGATAAGGAGATGGTAGGATATATATAAATATATACGAAGGAGAGGACAAAATACTTAAAAAAAAAAATTGAGAGCTGAACATGTGTGAAGATAATTTATTAACCACACCCGTATGTCAGAGGTTTTTTGCCCCACAGGTGAACTAAAGGAGAAGGTGACCCACTCTATCTAACCAGGTGATTGGTGAGCATCCAGTCCCTAAAGAAGAAAAACTGGAAGCAGGCCTGTTGGGAAGGGCCCTATCAGGTTATATTGGTCACTGCCTTTGCCATTAGAATAGCTGAGAGAGCCACTTGGGTCAACGTTACCCACTGCAAAAAGGTAGGCCCACATGCCAACACCGTTGAACACACACAGAGTTAAAGAGAAGAACTGGAACCAATAGGGTCTGGGGGTAAATTCTGTTAACGAAGATCCCCTACCCCGACCTTTCATCACTGTGGGGTGTTTATAGAGGTGTGAGTATGGGGTAGTACCAAGCAGAAAGACTGAGGACAGGAGAGGGTTGGCGGTTTTTGGGAATATGGATAACTTGAGTTGCATCATACTCTCGGCAATGGTCTTGATATGTCAAGATCCACCACCAATTATGCTATGCCCTTACCATCGTTAAGAAGTAAAAGAGAAGAGAAGCGACCCGACATACTGACCGTCAAGGACGAGTGGCCTACAAAATAGGAGTCAGAGAAGGGCAGACTGTCAGATTCAAAATAAGGGTTAGGGACGTAGCCAATGGGTGGGGTACATGTCAATAAGCAAATTGGGATTATAAAATCCTATTATATTCGTGTTCGGCCCCCACGGCGGATTGTTCCTAGACTCAAGTGTTTAAATACATTTGGGGGTGGGGATATGAGACCGGGTGGGACTGAACATCCAGATGTGGGGTAAAGAGAAACAAAGACATCACCAATTATCAATTGGAGACTTAAGTTCGGAAGCACAGGAGAGAATTCTAAACCTTACAGCCCCTGTAACCGATGTGTGGTGGGCGTGTGCCAGTAAGGGCAGTGTAAGGCAGAGAATTCCAAAGGGGTGGCTAGATACATGCGCCCTGGTTCTACTGATTCAGCTAGTTAGAATTAGTCACCAGGAACCAAGGATTAAACAGATGTAGGAGGAGTTTTAACAAGAAGGAGAATAGCCCTATTTAGATGGATGCGATTGGGATACCAAGGGGGGTATCGGATGGATACCGAGCTATGAAACAATTAGGGGAAGGGTTTACTACCACTTTCTTTTGGTGGGTGACAATAAACAGAATTGTGAATTGGATTATTTATATCTATTACGACCAACAACGATTTATTGGCTGGACTAGGGATGCAACAGAAGGGATCTTTTGAACAATTATCCGCCATCTCACTCTTATGACTTAGTAAAAAGAGGTTGGCTCTAGATCAGGCAGAAAGGGGTGGTGTCTATAGAATGGTAAGCCATTGTTGTACGTTTATCCCTAACGGTGCCGGTCCTGACGGGAGTGTCTCTGGGGCCCTGGTTGGTTTGGATGGACTGTCGGCTGAAATGAAGAGCATGGCTGGAATGGAGGGAACGGACTGTTCTCCTGGTTGGGTGATTGGTTTGGTGGGTACTCTGTTATGGTGGTTACTGGATTTCTGACCCTAGTAGTTGTGTTTCTAATATTAATGTGCTGTACTGCCTGTGTAATTCCTTGTCTGAGAAAGTCTGTTACAGATGTCGTGCATACGGCTGGTATGATGCCCCTCCTAGGGGCTCAAGAAGGGGATGCAGACACTGAGATGGGGTTGACAAAGGATGACCCTTGGTTTGCTATTGGTGAGGTGGTGGAGTGACACCCTAGAGGGTGTCTAAAGGGGGCCAAAATGTATTAATCTTTGTGTTTTATGCTTTATTAATCAAGTTAACCATTGTGAATATTTGTCTTTCCTTATGTGAAGGTTTGAAGTTCCTGGGTGGCTGGTAGTCAACCTAGTACAATTTGGGTGTAGATGGAAGGACTGAAGGCCTTTTTATTATCATTATTGCCTATTAATAAAAGTGTGATTCTTCTTGTTTGTATTGTATTTTAATGAGTGACACCCTAGAGAGTGTCAATAGGGGGATTCCTGAATTTCCCTGAAATTTCTTATTTTGGGTTTTCTTGTTTTGGGTTCACACCCAGTGGGTGTGAAAAGGGGGATTGTGGGGATCTATTTTCTTATAACTGGATGTGATGCCTAGCTTAGAAGGAATGCATGAATGATTAAACATAATATGTTTGTGCTGTACTGATATAGACTGTTTAACATAACAAACTGTGATTCATGTGAGGAGCTGTTAGGGAGTAGGGGGAGATAAGAACTTGTGTCTCACATACACGAACACTGCCTCTTTGTTAAATCGCGCTCAAGGACATGTGTTCTGCTACAGTGGAGAGGAACAGACTATGTCTGAAGTTGCAAAACAACTAAACACCTGGCAACAGTGAAGCGCCAAGGGGCTGGGACCAGCCTGTGCGCCAACGATAGGCTGAGTAAGTCTAAACCACGCTAAGTCTCTACTCTGATTGGCCAGCAGGGAGCGGGAACTATCTCTGTCAGAGTATTTGGAGAAGAACTTAGAACAATGGATCAGTTCTCTGTCTGCCCTGCGTGGTATTTCAGTGGACCCGTATATACAAACATCATATTTACCATTGAAGGTTTTGCATTAATTAAAATACTAGTCTATTTTAGAAGACGTGTATTGACCTCTTTTGTTCCCAATACCAGATTTGAATTGACGCAACTTAACAAGACTGAACGACTGGGTCGAGTCTCTGGCAACCGAACCGATAGAATGAACGACCAGCTGGCTTGGGTAGCAACCCTAGATTTGTGTCGAGACTATCTTGTGGAAGGATGAAATAGTATGAATAAATTAACCAAAATAACGTTTTTAATGAAAATATGTCAATCATTATTTGAATATGTTGGTAACCCGTTGTATAAAAGTGATAAGGCTGCTTGTATAAAAGTGATAATGCCCTCGAAGCCGGTGTTTGGAGGATATATTGGCACGGTTTGCAGTTAACAACACCCATGCCAATATATCCTCCAAACACAGTCTTTTCGGGCATTATCACTTAAATAGGCCTACTGCAGCTCTGATTGGTTATGCCGCACCATACTCTAGGGCTGTCGTGTGCAATAGAATCCTACTCTGCATTGAAAGTGGCTAATATTGCGTTGATTCAACAACAATTGCCACAGTAAAGGGAAACGTTGAAACTGTTAACTAAGGGGGAAAACTGTAAATAGTTGAGTGAAGTTCAATCTGGTGCTTCCCTCCCTGGGCTGATATTTTTTCTGCGCTGCAGTCCCAGGGAGCTGCTCAGCAGTCCACTCGCAGTTTAGAAGGAACATCGTTTTTTTATTTTATGTGTACTTTTACCCCTTTTACGTGATATTCAATTGGTAGTAACAGTCTTGTCCCATTGCTGCAACTCCTGTACGGACTCGGGAGAGGCGAAGGTCGAGACCCTGCCTAGCCACACTGCTTCTTGACACACTGCTCGCTTAACCTGGAAGCCAACCAATGTGTCGGAGGAAACACCACCACAAGGAGTCGCTAGAGCTCGATGGGACAAGGAAACCCGGCTGGCCAAACCCTCCCCTAACCCATACGACGCTGGGCCAATTGTGTGCCACCTCATGGGTCTCCCAGTCACGGTTGGCTGTGACACAGCCTGGGATCGAACCCGGGGCTGTTGTGACGCCTCAAGCACTGCGATGCAGTGCCTTAGACCACTGCACCACTCGGGAGGCCCAGGAGGAACATTGGTTATGTCATCTCTGATGCTGATTGAAATATCCTAAACACAGTATCAGTCTACTATGTTGTCTCTATATTATGTCTCTCAGCTGTCTCTCCCCAGACCTGATCCCACCAGGTGTGTGTAACCTGCTCAACTCCTCCACTATCTATGCAAACAATGAGGTCAGCCTGGCAGAGGTGGACATCTATGGGTTTGACTATGACTATGACTACACCCTGACCCTCTACTCCAACGCCCTCAACACTATGATCTACAACACTGCCAGAGACTTCCTCATCGAGCACTACAAGGTTTGTGTGCTCTAATTAACCTGCCAATACACTAACACATACTGTATATTCAGTGCTCCTGAAAATTCCACATTGTGGACCCTTGTAATCTGATCATTTTCTGCTCTTGTTTGACAGTATCCTGAAGGTATCCGCCAATATTACTACATCTCCAACTTCGCTGCACAGGATCTTCACTATGATATTCAAAAGGTAAGCATCATACAGCAATTACGCCCCTCTAATACATCGCTCTGCCCTTCTTCTAAACATCAAATCTCAAGGTACCGTGGGTTTACAATGCTGTATGTTTTGTCCTCCCCCAGGGCCTCCTGATGAAGATAGATGCTTTCCATTACATTCAGCTGCAGACTGTGTATCGGTGAGTTCTGTTTATTGGTAGGTGAATAACACTCTGCAATGTATGGGTCAGTCAGTGTACTAAACATATAAATATAATGAATATAACAGGCTTGGAAGCTCTAACCCTGGCAATTTGACTGGTAAACTCATGGGTACACTCGCAATGGCTGCCTGTTATTGTGATGCAATCATTTCCAGGGTATTTTGGAATGTTCTATCAACTGATGCTGGATTGCCATGTTAATGTAGAATGTTCATTCAAATTATCCTAACTGATATGGCTCATGTAATGTAATGTATTTTTTGTAATGTCAGTTGAGTTGACTCAACAAATCCCATGACAGATTGAATGGTACACGTCCTGCTTTTACTTCTTGGCATGGGTCTAGGTTGAAAATATATAGGTTAAGACAACGTCGTCACAATTCGGCACCAGTGCCGTTGCTAACTGCAAGCGCTGTTGCTAACTAGCATAGCTGGTCCCATTGTTGCAAAGAGTTATGTGATATTAAAATGTTGTTGTCTTAACCTTTGTTATCTTAAACCTAGGCATGGGTACACTCAAAATTGCTGCCAGTCCACCATTTAAGACATCATTGACTTGAATGGAGACACCCTTTCTATTCTAAGCCTCTAGGCCAATTCAGAAAGCTGATTGACCATTTTACTGATGAATGTGTTTGTTTCTTATGACTGTGTTTTTTTTTCTGCTTGCATTTTGTATTTAGATTTTGATGTGTGTATTTTCTGTTATTTATGTAATTCAGGGCTAATTTGTAAAATCTCAGTATGACTCCCTGATAAAATAAAGGTTATAAAAATAAAAATAACATAAATGGTACCGTAGATCTGTCATGACACAACGGGATGCATGAGATAATGAGCAACGTTAGTTCCGGTGCTTTGGACAAATCACAATTTCAGAAGGGGAGACAACATTTGGACCATAGACTTGCCTGTAACTTGCAAAGTGAGTGGGTAGAGCACTTTGTTCCGGCAGGGAGGTTCAGTTTGTAAGATATGGGGCTTTGATGTTTTCACTCAGGTTCACATTCTTCTACGTCTATTGAATGCCTCCCTGTGGAGGAAGCACAACATGCCTCCCCTGCCTCCTAATCTTCCATCACTGGGCTTCCTGTCTTCATAAATCAGGGATTAGCTCTGTGTACAGGCCTTGCTCACTGTGGGCACTGGTTCCATTTTTTCCTCCTTGGAAAGAAAGTGCTTCCAAACATGGTGCCTCATTAGAGCTAGAAGCACTGGGTGGTAATATAATGTTTAGAAATAAGTATTTGATGTCCATTTTGTAACTTTATTTCTTGCTAATCACACCCAATTTTAGAGCCATAGTAATGTGTTGACGAGTGTGTTTATAACCATACAATTCTGAGTGTTTATAAGTATGTTTATAAGCATACAGTAAGTAGTTGACTTGTAATTGTCCATAGGACCTCAAAGTGAAGCAGTTCATGGACGTCTTCTCCATCCCAGAGATGACCCTCCTGGCTGTGGCCAATTATTTTTTCATCTCCAACGACATCGAGTACGATCCTGAGTGTAACCGGTGTGAAATGGCTAGCTAGTTAGCGGTGCGCGCTAGTAGCATTTCAATCGGTGACTTCACTCGCTCTGAGACCTAGAAGTAGTTGTTTCTCTTGCTCTGCAAGGGCCGCGGCTTTTGTGGAGCAACGGGTAACGGTGCTTCGAGGGTGACTGTTGTCGATGTGTGCAGAGGGTCCCTGGTTCGAGCCCAGGTAGGGGCGAGGAGAGGGACGGAAGCAACACTGTTACATTGGTGCCGTGACCCGGATCACTGGTTGCTGCGGAAAAGGAGGAGGTCAAAAGGGGGGTGAGTGTAACTGGTGTGAAATCGCTAGCTAGTTAGCGGTGCGCGCTAGTAGCATTTCAATCGGTGACGTCACTCGCTCTGAGACCTAGAAGTAGTTGTTTCTCTTGCTCTGCAAGGGCCGCGGCTTTTGTGGAGCAACGGGTAACGGTGCTTCGAGGGTGACTGTTGTCGATGTGTGCAGAGGGTCCCTGGTTCGAGCCCAGGTAGGGGCGAGGAGAGGGACGGAAGCAACACTGTTACATTGGTGCCGTGACCCGGATCACTGGTTGCTGCGGAAAAGGAGGAGGTCAAAAGGGGGGTGAGTGTAACTGGTGTGAAATCGCTAGCTAGTTAGCGGTGCGCGCTAGTAGCATTTCAATCGGTGACGTCACTCGCTCTGAGACCTAGAAGTAGTTGTTTCCCTTGCTCTGCAAGGGCCGCAGCTTTTGTGGAGCGACGGGTAACGGTGCTTCGAGGGTGACTGTTGTCGATGTGTGCAGAGGGTCCCTGGTTCGAGCCCAGGTAGGGGCAACACTGTTACATGAGCACCTCTTAAAAGATGTCTCAGTGAGTGTCTCAGTACAATGCCTGTTTCCCACGCCATTTCTCACCCTGTGTAATGTTCTATCGCTCCCTCTTGCTGGTTTTCTAAACCCTCTGCCCGGTTCATTTGACTGTTTGGGCACAGTGGGGATTTTGCCTTTAGGGAGCACAAACAGTAAGTGCACATAAATATACTTAAATTCAGCTACAGTATGTACCTATAGAAAATGATCAATTCAACATGCTTATACTCAGGTTTTGAATATCCCGCTCTCTACTCCGACCCAGTCTAATTGACAAGGTAGGATAGAGACAGAGCTAGATCTCTTCTTTCTTCTGGCAGACAAAGTGAATCTGAACGGGACAAACTGTAACCTAAACCCTTTCACCCCAGTGTGGAATGAGAACAGCTATTGTTCCATAGTCCACACGTCTGAATCCCTAGCAACCTCTCTCTAGGTGGACAGACATCTGAACCTGCTGGTGAAAATCTTTTGACCGGTACTGTATATAGAGACATGGAACACTGGTCACTTTAACAATGTTTACATACTGTTACTGTGTATGTACAGTGCATTCGGAAAGTATTCAGACCCCTTTACTTTTTCTACATTTTGTTACATTACAGCCTTATTCTAAAATGGATTAAATCGTTTTTTTCCCCCTCATGTCATGAACCCGGCGTCCTGAGTCTGTTCCTGCCTGTGTTGCCGTTTTTCTGCTCTGAATCTCCTGTTTCCTGAAGGTTCCTGAACGCACCCTGTCCGGTTGCCGGGCGACGTTGCTAGGCGGGTGATCTCTCGATTACCCGCACCTGCTTCTCATCAGCTTCGGCATACCTGGTCCTGATCATCATCCCTTCATAAGCTCTGACCTGACAGTTTTGTTGTTTTGCACCTTGTTGGCTTGCCGTGTACTTACCTCCGTTTTTTTCTGTCTACAGTCATTCTCCCGGAACCTTCACCCAACCCCTGCCTGGTTGTCGGCGGCTGCCGTGCCATCATTGGATCTGCCACTTCACCTCCACCAACTCATCTCCGCCGCCCACTCCGTCTCCTGGATTATTCTGCATCTTTTTTTGAATCTGTTAATAAATACTCACCTTCGTTCAACTCACCTTGTCCTGGTCTGCTTCTGGGTTCTGGCTTAGAAAACCTTGACACCTCATCAATCTACACCCACTACCCCATAATGACAAAGCAAAAACAGGTTCTTAGAATGTCTTGCAAAAAAAACAAAAATAAACTGAAAGAAGACATTTACATAACTATTCAGACCCTTTACTCAGTACTTTCTTGAAGCACCTTTGTCAGCGATTACAGCCTCGAATCTTCTTGAGTATGACGCTACAAGCTTGGCTCACCTGTATTTTGGGAGTTTCTCCCATTCTTCTCTGCAGATCCTCTCAAGCTCTGTCAGGTTGGATGGGGAGCGACTCTGCACAACTATTTTCAGGTTTCCCCAGAGATGTTCGATCGGGTTCAAGTCCAGGCTCTGGTTGGGCCACTCAAGGACATTCAGAGACTTGTCCCGAAGCCACTCCTGCATTGTCCTGGCTGTGTGCTTAGGGTTGTTGTCCTGTTGGAAGGTGAACCTTCGCCCCATTCTGAGGTCCTGAGCACTCTGGAGCAGGTTTTCATCAAGGATCTCTCTGTACTTTGCTCCGTTCATCTTTCCCTCGATCCTGACTAGTCTCCCAGTCCCTGCTGCTGAAAAACATCCCCACAGCATGATGCTGCCAGCACCATGCTTCACCGTAGGGATGGTGCCAGGTTTCCTCCAGACTAGATGCTTGGCATTCAGGCCAAAGAGTTCAATATTGGTTTCATCAGACCAGAGAATCTTGTTTCTCATGGTCTGAGAGTCCTTTAGGTGCCTTTTGGCAAACTCCAAGCGGGTTTTCATGTGCCTTTTACTGAGGAGTGGCTTCCGTCTGGCCACTCTAGCACAAAGGCCTGATTGGTGGAGTGCTGCAGAGATGGTTGTCCTTCTGGAAGGTTCTCACATCTCCACAGAGGAACTCTGGAGCTCTGTCAGTGACCATCGAGTTCTTGGTCACCTCCTTGACCAAGGCCCTTCTCCACCGATTGCTCAGTTTAGCTGGGCGGCCAGCTCTAGGAAGAGTCTTGGTGGTTCCAAACTTCTTCCATTTAAGAATGATGGAGGCCACTGTGTTCTTGGGGACCTTCAATGCTGCAGACATTTTATGGTACATTTACCAAAAATTCTAAAAACCTGTTTTCACTTTGTCATTATGGGGTATTGTGTGTAGATTGATGAGGAAAACAATTGATTTAATCCATTTTAGAATAAGGCTGTAACGTAACAAAATGTGTAAAAAGTCAAGGGGTCTGAATACTTTCCGAATGTACTGTATATACTGTATTCTAGTCATGGATTATCCTATATAATTAATGCTTTACAAACATTTTCAATTCATGTATTGACCATACTGCCATATTTTATATTCTGGACTGACATTGCTCGTGCTGATATTGCTTGTTCTGATATGGCTTGTTCTGATATGGCTTGTTCTGATATGGCTTGTTCTGATATGGCTTGTTCTGATATGGCTTGTTCTGATATGGCGTGTTCTGATATGGCTTGTGCTGACATGGCTTGTTCTGATATGGCGTGTTCTGATATGGCTTGTGCTGATATGGCTTGTTCTGATATTGCTTGTTCTGATATGGCTTGTTCTGATATTGCTTGTTCTGATATGGCTTGTTCTGATATGGCTTGTTCTGATATTGCTTGTTCTGATATTTTTTATTTTACTTTTTTGATTATGTGTGTATTGTTATTGTATTGCTAGATATTACTGCACTGTTGGAGCTAGAAATCTAAGCATTTCGCTGCACCTGCAAATCTGTTTATGCGACCAATAAACTTGATTTTATTGATTATGATAATGGTAAGCTAGGAACCAATGTACTACACACGTTGAAGTCATTTGAACCCAATTATAACAATTATGAAATGTATGTTCATACTGCCTGCTGAGAGGTGAAACCCAAGACAGAAACTAAGGGTGGATGTACATTAGTACAATTTGTTTAGTGAGATCCAGTGGCGGCTCCTGAAAAAATTCTCAGGGGGGGCAATTTTTCTGATGATTTAGGTGACCTACACACATTAAAAAATATGTATGTCCAGCAACAACATGAAGACAGGGGCAGCATATAAGTCAATACTGATATACACATTACTTGCTTCAAAAAGGCCTCATGGTTGAATTGGAAATATGTGCACCTGAGCATAATTCACAACAAGCAAGCAGGAGCTTTTGATAGAGGCTACTGAAAACATTGATGCAAGTTATTGGTAATAAGAAATTTTTATAGACTTCCATATTCTGCCCTCTTGTATAGATTTGTGAAAATGAACAGTGATAGACATTTTGCCTGAAAACAGAATTTGAAAATAATTTCTAGAAAAGGTAAACACAGCTATCTGTATGGCTTTGTAAAAATGAACAACCATATTCTGGCCAATTGTATAGATTTGTAAATATGAACAACCATATTCTGGCCAATTGTATAGATTTGTAAAAATGAACATGAACAGATTTTTTATTTTATTTACTTTTTAAAAAATGAAAAATAACTATTTTAAACAACATCAACTGTGAACTGATTTGGGCGTGTGTGTGTTAAAGAGACAGACAGGGAGGGACAAAGAGAGAGAGAGGCTACATTACTTGTACTGAAACTGTTCTAGCTTGCTGCATGATCAAATTCAGCTGATGCGCATAGCAATGCACGTAATGGGCATTCTTGAAATGCTCACCCACCTTTTGCTGCACACCAGCCTTCTCTCACCTCATCACACTGGCTCCATCGTAAGCTTGCGCAATGAGTTTGACTTTCTCGTCGTCGGCAAAAAGATCTTTCAGTCTCTCCAAAAGCACACTGGCGATTGAGACTGAGGTTGATTCCGAGATGGGAAGGAACTCAAAAAAGCGCTCCTGCACTTTGTGGTTGCTATCTATGTACCTCAGCACAAGCACCAGCTGTGTCTGTGTAGAAACGTCCGTGGTCTCGTCAGCTTGGATAGCTACGAAGTTCGCCGACTTCACCTCCTCCACAATATGTTCCCTCATGACCGCTAGCATACACTCCTGACAAGTCCAAGAAAAATACCAGGGTTGGTGGAGCCCTCAGTTTCATCTTTGCCTCGCAAAGCTAGCCATCTTGACAGTTGTACGTGAATTGATTGACGCTGCTACCCGCTCTTTTCTTAGTTATGTTCATGGTTACTTATGTTACGTATGACGAAAGCGCGTAAGTGCAAGCCCTCCCGGAACCCATAGAGATTGTATTGAAAGCTCTGATATTTGAAAAAAATAATATTTTACATGATAGTCTATGAGAGACTCCTGGGCGATTTTCAACCTGACTGAAATCGTCCCAAAAGGGGCGGGGCCATTTGAAGCACGACTTTAGTCTGATTGGACATTTAGTGGCAGATCAGACTTCTAGATTAGAACACTGAAAACTACTGTTGCCGTGATATAATTGATTAGAAAAAAAATCCCTTCCTTTTCCCGTTTGGCAGTGCGTCGCCCATATCGCCCTAATGAACACACCGCCCCTGGTGAGATCTATTTCTCTTCAACATCAGATTTGCAACTTTTCTGTTTACACTAGCCTTGGATGTGGTGTGGCCAAAGCCACATTCCCGCTTCATGAGTGCAGCTATTAGCATACCGTAAATACCATAGAATATAGACAAACAAAATAAGGATAGTAATTCAAACTATACAGGAGCTTCTCATCTAAACCATATTGCACATAGTGTTGCACACTTGATTAAAGCAATTATTCACAAATGTGTGGATATTTTAAAAGCCTTTCATTTTCAATTTGGCTAAATTAGTTAAAATGCTTACTGGTATTAAGGTAATTCTTGCATGGACATGTGGTGTGGGAGCGCCTGTCTTTACTCTGTACCACTCAGGGGTATGTGGTGTAGATGTCTCCCACACTACCTCTGGAAGGATTTGAATCTAGATCTGTTTCTTTACACTACACAAGTATCTCTCCTGGACCTAGTTTGTGTCATTAAAGTAGTGTAGTGTAAAGAGGCCCCAACTCTTTGGTGAACAAAAGAGACTATTATATTTTATTATATTATTTCTCTCTCTAATTAAACCTTGGTACATACTGTCCTTTACATGGTATTCTCCCTCTTTTAGGACCTGATGCTGCGTCATGGGTGGTGTATGGGAGCCATAGAGCCTCAGCTGGATCTGGAGACCAAGGTGGTGAACACAAAGCAGTATGCCCAGAGCCTCACCTGGCTCCAAGCCCTCACTTGGCTGCTGGAACGCATGCAGGTACAGTACAACTCTCCTCACGGAAAATACAACTCCTCCAACACCTTGGTTAGGGTAGTGATCGCATTAGGTGCGAATAGACATGAAGAAGAAAAAATGTCTTAATTTACAAACTGGTGTAAGTTTTTTCTTCCATCCATTATAATGCACATGTAGTATCTTAAGAGTCTAGAAATGCTGATGTGGCAAAATGGTGGAATAGATGAACTTGCTCTACTTTGTTGAAAACATCTGGAAAGCATTACTAATGTTCATGGAAAGATGATATGGGGAGTAAGGTAGAAAAGACCAGGGATTGGTTTTTAGGATCACACCATATTACGTCATAAATGATATAAAACCATGTCTTGAACAATAGAATAGGGAGAATAGCAAATTACTGATTGGCTGTGCTGTCTCACAGATATCTGCAGAATCTGTCAAATTCCGATGCTGGAACCTTTGTTATAATAAACCTTTATAAACAGAGTACAGTGTCGGCGGATCTTCTTATCACTACGGCATTACCAGCAAAAGCTCGGTCTTGTTTACCACACACACAAACAAAATCTCTCAATCTCCCTACAATTGATTAATTGATTATTTGATATGTGTTTCTGTAGTGTGATTGTTATGGTTTATAGCTGTCTCGTCTTATGTCCTTCTGTAGATGCATCGAGATTCACAGTCTAGGGAGGTTCTGCAGAATTGGCTGAAGGAGAGAGAGGAGCTCAGGTGGGTCCCATTGGGATAGTGGTATTAATGAAGTGTTATTCTAAAGGTTTCAGAATGGTATGATTCTGAGCTCTTTCTTTGTCCATATCTTATCTTCTAATTCCCTGCTGTGCTCTTTCTGCATTAGTCTTTCATCTCCCTTTCTTATCCATGTCTCCTTTTTTCAGACTAAGAACAAAGAACCTGTTCAACCCCCAGTTCGGCAGCATCTTCCGCACTTGTCACAACCCTACCTACTTCTGCCGCCGCCTGTGTCGCTTCTCAGACGTCTACATGGCCTCCATCAGCTGTCTGCTAAACTATGACCTCTCCTACACCTTCTACCCCCTATGCACCCCTCTGTAGCATGAGGCACCCCTGTGGATTGACCAGACTGGCTGCATGAAGACCCCTTTCCCAGAGGAGATGGCCCACATCCTCTGAGCCAACAATGGGTTGTCATTGCTGGGTTCTCAGCGCTGGGTTCTCAACATGGACATTCACAAAACAGCCCACTAGAGCGCGTTGTAGATCAGTATTATTCAGAGAATAAGCTTAGGTTGTTGCTATTTCTGTAATTGAATACTGTGAGTAGTATCATGGTCTATATAGGAGTTACTCTCTGGCAGACCTGATCTAAGCTAATTAATAATAGACATGTAGGAATACATTTGCACTTCAGAAACCTTTAACTTAAACACCCTTCATTGTACATGTTAGTTATTAACTAATGGGTCATACACCCATCCCAGACTGGCAAACAAAACATCTGGTTGAATTTGATGACCAGCATGCAAAGACTGTTTTATGAAGAAGACAGCACGTACTATTTGTTCACAATGTATGTTCAAAATACTGTCGCTGCTGTTTCTGTGCCTGTATACATTCAATAGAATATGACCAAATTTAAACATAGTTTTGTCACTGATGTAACTTTTTTCATTTGTCATGATGTTGTATGTGTAGCCTATTGATTGTTGACTGCTCCAAATCTAGCTTTAGTGTCCATACACATTTCATTGTGCATTGGAAGAACAATAAGTCAGATAATCAAAATCTTTAAATCAAGACATGTGTATGAACTTTTGAGGTAGGCATCTATTCAAATTGATTGGAGCTGCTCCTGCTCCTCAAGTCTACCACTTCACCAGCTATCACCTACAGGTAACTAGCAAAATAAAATAAACACTTGACTAAATGAGGGATACAAAGTATATTTAACACAGGTGTGGTTCCTGAGTTAATTAAGCAATTAACATCCGGTCATGCTTAGGGTCATTTATAAAAATGCCCAGTTGCCTATTATTTTGGCTACCATGGCTAGAAGAAGAGATCCCAGTGACTTTGAAAGAGGGGTCTCAAAGAAGCATAGGGGGTTTAAAGGGCATGTGTGTGTTTGTGTGTGTGTGTGTCTCAGTCACCAGATCTCAAACCAATTGATGGGAGATTCTGGAGCAGCACCTGAGACAGAATTTTCTAGCACCATTAACAAAACACCAAATTATGAATTTCTTGTGGAAGAATGGAGTCGCATCCCTCCAGTTCCAGACATTGTAGAATCTATGCCAAGGCGCATTGAAGCTGTTCTGGCGGCTCGTGGTGGCCCAACGCACTATTAAGACACTTTATTTTGGCAGTTACCTGTAGGTATAGGCTACTTTACTATCATGAAAGTACTTTGTCAGAATACTTTAGTTTTTAGCAGATAATCCATTTTAAAATGTAATTTTAGGGCTGACTGAGAAAAACCAACGGTTCCACTACCAAGAGCTGGCTCTCATAAACTGTTCTTGAAGCTCCTAGACTATTTTGCAAATTTTTCTTGCAAATGATCTCATTGGCTGATGGTTGCACGTCGCTAGGCAGCAACTCATCATCATCCTGAGTAGGGTACCAGTGCACCTCAGCTGCCGCAGCCGCACGAGACAGACCGAGCACCAAAACTCCTGTCAAAGAAAGAGGTAAGCAAAATACACGCATGTTTCATACTTATTTAAAGCTTTATTGCTTATTGAATCTGGTTTATTGGGCTACATGCTCGTTTTGAGAGTGTTTTTGTAGTTAATACTGGCATGGGGCGTGAATTTGAAAGTGAACATGTTTGACCATCGAAGCCTATTATTTTTTGCAAAACATTTTGTTCAATTGTTTTCACTTGTTAAACATTTCTACAGAACGCATGGAGGCAAGTTTTATTCGAGTAGGGCCCACTGTCGGGCTTTGTCTAATACCAAGGGCGTTGGTTTTACGATTTTAGAATTAGTTTTTATAGCTCGTTCAAGTAGTCTCTGCGCGCGTTAAAGGGCTGTATAGGTCAAGGGAGTCTAACGTCCAGAGTGCTATTTCAAAACGGTAGGTAGGTATTGTAGCGAAGGGGAATGAGAGTCGACAGTTTACTTAGTTATTTGAATATTTTCTGCCACAGAGGAGAAAGTTGAGAGAAAGAGACAATTGTAACCTAAATGTAATCATGCATTCATAGTGTCTGAGAAATGTTAACAACAACAACTTGATGAAAACACTTGTCATCAGGGTGTGGTTCAGGAGGTAGCCTGCATGCCTGCTAGTAAACCAATATAAGGAGCTGTCACTCAGAGACACAACAGAACTCTCAATAGCAGAAACATTTTCTTCCCTGATTTAATTCCCTAGGCCTAGACTCTTTCTGTATTTTCCCAGCAGGTGTATCTGTCAGAATGTGTTGTTCACATTAGCCTTCTAATTGTGTCCCATGTTGGTTAAATTGTTTTTGACTGTGGCAGCATGTTATGCATAGGTCATCTCCTCTGCCATGTATGATGTATTGATTGATATTCTCCTTAGTCTTAGCTGTTCTAAGTTAATTGACCCAGTCCATAGAGCTGACAGGGGCTGTACATCATGGAATGAAACTGTCCCATAGGCCATTAATCACATTCACCTACTTTATATCCCAGGCGAAAGAATCCAGGAAAAACTGCTGTCTATATAGGACACGTCTCCTTGACTAAATGACTAAAGGTCTTCGATACACTACCATGGATGATGAGTATTGATTTTTCTCAAATATTCATAGGAAGGAATTAAATTGATGTGGTGTTTTGGCCTCTGGTCAAATGCAATGCACTATATTGAGAAAAGGGTGCCATTTGGGAAGCATCATGAGTGTTTCCCCTTCAGGCTGCTTCAGAGCTGAGCATTGATTGTGGTTTTCCAGGTTGACCCTCCAGCATAGGTAGTGGGCTGCCAGTATCGTGTTCCACTTGGCCCACTGTGTCAGTTTGTAGTTAGCGGGTGGCACAGACTGAAAACAGATTCCCAAGTATTGTTGACAGTTGCATTTTTGATTCTCGCTCTTGGCAAGGATTTTTTGTTTGAAATCCGAATTAAAGAGTTTGAGTAGCTATAATTCATCCTCTGAGAAATGGTAATGATTGAAATGGTCTTAAAGAAGCAATATGATTTTCTTAACCAGTTCAGAGTGTCAGAATCTGTTATCTCGAAAATAAATCCAAGATAGTTTTAGACAAGGGAAAATAAATTACAAGACTGTAAAATGTTGTTGAAAGGATGAAATTATTGAAATGTTGTTGTTTTATAATTTTAGGAACTCTTGAAAAATATGCTCTACCAGGCGGTTGAGTTGCACATTAAAAACCTTGTAACTAAATGTAATGGAAAATGTAATCTACGTAATCCCAAAAAGTAATGATTTATCATGAGAGGGCCATAAATAATAACTAGTAATGCTGCATACTCCAAGAAAGGTTAAAATCTCACCTTTCTGGTAAAAATTGTTACAAATTGCTGAGTTGTAGTCACTTTTGAGGACACAAGCTCAAGTACACAGTACAAATATGATACAAATATGATACAAATATGAAACATTTTATATGATATATTTCCTATTCAACAAAACTGTATGAATAAGGCTTGAAATGACTTATTTTTTCTAAATATAGTATAATCAATTTAGAAAATGACTAACTATAAGATTTCACCTTCCTTATAACTGTAAAATACATATTTGTATATTTAGTGTTAGAGACAATGTGCATATTTTCTAATGGTCTCTCTTGATCAAAACATCTGCTCCCCATCACTGAACTTCTCACAGAGCTCTAGCTTGGCTTCCTGAACTCGATAGGAACTCGCCTTTCATCTCATATTAATCTTGTCCGTCTATGACAAACAGAAAGTGTTTTTTGTTTGATAAAATCTACAAATTATTTTAGATTACTGGCTATAAATCGATCTCTGAATATGCTATAGCGAAACCACTCTCTCCTGCTGCGTTACAATGTAAGGATTACAGGCATATGCGTTGTTAGTGGCTGTGACATAGGGTTCAGCCAGGATTTGATGGATAGTCAGAAGAGTGAATGAAATGGTAGGAGGGACATCCCAGCTTCAAGTGATGTCAGATTTCACATCCTGGTTCATACAAGCAGAAGAGAAGCAGGGCTACTGCTCAATGCAAGCCATTTCGATCTACGGTGTCCACAGATAATTTATAAGCAAAAATGTCAGTCGGAACCGGTACCTGAACCACGCAGTTCCCTTTAACAGGGGACTTTACATCGAAGAGGTTTTAAAGGAATGCAATTTAGTCAAAGCTAGCAATTATGTACAATGGATAAATATTTTTATGGATTTTTTTGTCTGTGCAAATATAAAAATATTTTCATATTTATATCAATATTTACTGTCTCCCTGTTATCTTCAATATGTTTCACAATATTATTCAGTACATGTCATTTTACAGGTATTATGCGCATATAAACATTTGTATTTATTAAGGAGCCCCATTAGCTGCTGCCAAGGCCAGCAACTAATCTTCCTGGGGTCCAGCAACATTAAGGCTGTTATATACAATTACAAATATTACATGACATTACATTTCATAACACTTTTCACAACACAAGGCCACTACTCTACTATCACTTATCTACAATACAAAATCTATGTGTACGTGTGTGTAGAGTGCGTGTGTTAGCATGTGTACAGTATGTGTGTGTCTGTATCTCTTCACTGTCCCCACTGTTCCTTAAGGTGTATTTTTATCTGTTATTTTTTATCTGATTCTGCTGCTTGCATCAGTTACCTGATGTGGAATAGAGTTCTATGTAGCCATGGCTCAATGTTGTACTGTGTGCCTCCTATAGTCTGTTCTGGACTTGGGGATTGTGAAGAGACCTCTGGTGGCATGTCTTAAGTAAATGCATTAATTTACATATTTAAATATTCATATTTTGACAAATGTATAATATTTTATTCATATTTGATATCAGTCCTCATTTAACTACGCCTGTCTTCCATTATAAGTAACTGAAGCAGACATAATGTTAATGAATGTATAATTCTGCTAATTCCAATACACCATTTGT